AAAAAAGTTCCTTTCACTACTTTTCCTGTCTCGACAGAGCAGACAGTGAAGGGAACTACTGTATGTGCGGTGTGATGTGTCAAAAGGTGCCGTTGGTTATGAAATCCAGTGAGTTTTGCGGCATCTAATCCACCGTTGCGACTTTGGCAAATCTGGGGTTCTCGCTCATTTTCAGTTCTTGTATTTACAGGATGGGCCTAAAAGGGAAAACATGGAGCTGTGACTGAGGAAAAGAACTGTGACGTGGTCTTGACAGTGTTATGCAGAAGTTTACGGCAGCTGTGGGCTGTGGGGGAAAAAAGAAAACAAGACAAAGTGTTTTCAGTGGGGTTTTTCTTAAGACATGTGTGGGGGTAGTGGGGGCAAATAATAACATGTCTATAGACTGTGTATTAGAGAGTACAATTGGTAAATGGGAGGTGGAATGTACAAATATATACACACATATATGTATATATATATACACATGAATACATATATTTGTATATATTTGTACACATGTAAATATATATATTTATATATACATATATATATTTTATATACATATATGTATTTACATATAGTTATATATACCATATATATTTATATGATGGTGGAATGTACAAATATACACACACATATGTATATATAACCACAAATAGATAAATATATCTGTATATACTGTATATATATATAGTAAATATATATATATACATACATATATATGTGTCTATACACGTGCATAAATATACATATGTATGCATATGTATGTATAAATGTGTAAATATATACATATATGCACATATATAGCTGTGTCTCTAATACACAGTCAATGCACACATTATTTGCACCGACTGCGGGAGCTTTTCCTAACGACTAATTCATATGTTCTGTCAGCCTGTCAAGATCAACGACTGTGACTAAAATCCACCAAGTCCATTGAAATGAACTGTGCAGTAATAGTTATTATAATTTGAATTATCCTTTATATGTGTGTGTGCGTGTTTGTTTGCTAAATTAAACTTAACTTTGTTCAGAAATTAGAAAAGCATAAAAAGAAATTGCTAGAAACTGTTGACAAAAATGAACTGTGCTATGCAACTGTTATGTACTATTCTTTTCATGTATGTATATATGTGAATATATACACATATATTAGTGAATATTCATAAATATATATGTATATATATATATATATATATATATATAAACACATTTTGTAGAAAATAGCAACATATCCAGTGTTCAGCTAAACAAAAATAATTAAATTTAAACGTATATTTTTTAAGCAAAACCAGAAATCAAGATCTTCACTGGGGTGTTTTTGAAAACACTTTGTCGTCATTTTTTTCAACATCTTTTAAATATTCCAGACCCTGTGTTAAACCGTTTAATCTACATTGATATAAAAGATAAGAACAGCTG